AGTCCAGTGTGAAACGGAAGGAAGTCTCGGGCGGGAGCGCTGGTTTTGTCGGGACGGGGGATGTTGGCGGCGAGCGAGAGCACCGCCTTGAGTAAAAAAAAGAGGAAGTCTCGAGCGGGAGCGTTGTTGTTGCTGGGGGGCGGCGCCGATGAGAGAAATATTAGCGCGCCTGTCCAAGGTTAAACGGGAGGAAGTCTCGAGGGGGAGCGCTGGTTTTGTTGAGACGGCTGTTTTCGGCGGCGAGCAAGAGCACCGGCCCTGGGTAAAAAAGGACGAAGTCTCGAACGGGAGCGTTGTTGTTGCTGGGGGGCCTGATTTGGCGGTCCCCCAAACCGCTTGAGAATGAGCCTCATTTTCAATGAAAATGCAGCCGGCGCCTCGGCGAGAGCGCCAGGGCGCCTTTAACCTATAAGGGGTCCAACAATAATAATTTTTTAATAATTAAAACTCAACGGCTCCAGCCTGACACGTCCCCACAACGCATTCCAAAATCAGCTCTCTCGCGAGACTTCCCCACAATTTATGTAGGAGTCGCGCTCTATCGTGGAACACCCTCGCAGTGTATTCAGCGCCGCCCCCTCGGCATTCAGGAATCACGCTCTCGCAGTGGCCTTTCTCACGATTTCTTTGGGAATCGCGCTATCGCTTGAGACTTCCTCGCGATTCATGCAGGACTCACGCTTCAGCAAGCCGCCTTCTCGACCTGGCCGCCTGGGCCCGCTTTCCCGACATGCCCGCTAGGGTTCTTTTCGTCCAATCTGCCAGTCTGGTTCTGCCACATGTTTTCTGCTCCCAGCCCTCCTCCTGCTAGTTTCTCTCGCGCTCCATCTTTCTCCCTCCCCCTTCCATCCGTCCTCTCTTCCCCTGTTGTTTTAAGTGCTGCGCTAAATGCGCGTGGTGGGCAACGGAGATGTACCCCCAAGGAGGCACGATCGAAGACGAGGAGGGCGGGCACCAAGGTTTCGAGATATACGTATTGAGTGGCACACAAGAAGATACGAGCGAACAGTCTTAAAATGATTGCGGTTGTTGTTGGTGGTGGTGGTGTTGTGGTTGTGGCGAATGTTACTGATATTGTTGTTGTTGATGTTGTTGCGTTCTCCTTTCCTGAAGAATAATCATTGTCCCCCCACCAACGCAGTTGGTTTTTCAATTAAACTGCTCCTCCCGGGGTTTGCACCCTGCTTTCACGGGAAAAATTAATCCTCCAATTGCGTTGTAGGCCCCCCGTTTGCAACAACAGCGGTTCCGCTTGATACTTCCCCACAACCTATTCTAAAATCGCGCTCTCGCGCGTGACAGTCTTCAAATGTATGCAGGGATCGCGCTCTCGCAAGGGACGTCCTCACAATGTGTGCAAACGCTGTGCCGCCTAGACTCAAGAATCACGCCCTCCCTTTGGCTCTCATTGCGATTTACTTGGGGATCGGGCAATCGCCCGAAATCCCCTTGCGAGTCATGTTGGGTTGAAGCTCCAGCGAGCCTCCTGCTTGACCCAATCGTCGGGGCCTAGAGTCCGCCCGCCGCCCGACCCGCCCGTCTGGATCTGCCGCTTCTGCTCCTGCCCCGAACCGTCCTCCTCCACATCTCTCTCCTGCTCCATCCTGCTCCCTCCCCCTTGTCTCTTCCCTCCTTCATTCCTTCCTGTGTTGGAAGGGCTGCGCAAACTACACGCGGCAGGAAGGGAAGAGATGCCCACGAAGGCGAACAGGGCGAGAATCGAAGGCTTGGGACATACATGTTGAATTGCACGCGGACAAACAGGAGCGAACAGTTTAAAAACGATTGTTGTTGCTGCTGTTGGTGCTGTTGTTGTTGTTATTCTTGTTATGTGTTGTTGCTGGTGTGGTCGTTGTTGCTGCTTGTTCTTGCAATCTGTGCACTGTCCAATGTAACCCCAAAAACCGCGTCAACGGAAAACCCTTGAAAACCCCATGGGAAGTCCATGGGACATTTACGGGCGGGCCGTCCGCTGTCGGATTTCTATCCTTTAACCGCGCCTGCGGTGCGACATGTAAGGGGCTGCAATTGCAGTAGGTGCTGTAACGGCCAACGACCACACCCCAAGGGTAGACGCACACGCCATCAAGCAAAACACAACATTGCACCGTTTGGATTGCCCCGGGCCGACAGTACCACGCAAGTTGCGCACTACATAAATTCTCCTTTCTAAAAAGGCAATAGACTCCATTCCCTTTGGGATTATCGACACCACTTTTCGTATTCCAAATCAATTATGATTCTGCCCCATTGCCCATCCTAAATATAAGCTCGTACCATCCCAGCCAGGCCGGTATCGACCCCCCGTCATCCTCGGCGACATATCCTATGCGCGCGCACTCGCTTATCAGAAACCATCAGTTGTCATGAATCCCTTGCCCAAAAAGATGAAGTGCACACGCGCGCGTCGTCGCGCGCGCATGCCGAAATCCATCGACAATTCTCGGTGGCGTATATATATATATATATATATATGTCAAAATCGAGTATCCAAAAAAACACGCATGGCTTCGCGACGGGAATTTTACGTATACATCAAAAACAGGCGCGCTCTTTTCGAATTCGTACGACAAAAAATCAACAGGTTTCGCAACAGGTTGATCGCATGCTACCAACTGGGCGTCACGCGCGCGCATGTCGAAATCAGTCGAACGCCCTTGCACGCGTGCCGTCGCGAGAACCCTTTGCAACACAGGGGACGAAGTGCACGGGCGCGCGTCGTCGCGCGCGCATGTCAAAAGCCGTCAAGCACCTGCGTTGTCGTAACAATGTCAAGACCGAGCGTGTGTATTCATGCCGGTATTCTGATAGATGTATATATAGCATTGCACAACATGGGTTACACCTCGAATACGAACCACATGTCTATTTGCTTGGCAACAACAACTATAAAACTGTGAATCCAGAAAACTGCCGGGAACGCGCGCGCGCGTTGCCCCCAACCCCCCTCCGACAAGGATCGCATTCCATTCCGGGGATTAGAAATTAGGGATGCAGCCATTCTCGCCCTCCAGACATTTGGCGTTCTATCTGGCAACCACCCTTTCCGACCGGGATCGCGGTCCATGCTGGAATCAGGAACCAGGGATCCGGCCATTCCCTGGGCCAGAGCTCTCACTGGAACAGTCGCGCCAGATCCACGCGAGACCAATTGTGGGCCAGCGTGGGCCCCAAAACTGTGTGCGCCTAGCAAGCTGCGGTGTGAACTCTACGTGGGGCTATCTGAGTGATGTCACAGAGGTGGTGCAGGCTGCGAGGTGGACAACGTTATCGAGTACAATCGACGAAGGGCAACTGACCTGGTGCAGCGCAGATTGTGCTATGTATGCGGTGCAGTATGCGCACGGGCCCCCGGGGCTACGAACCATGTCTTCTCACGATCTTTTAACTACCCGCATGTCCGCACCCACCAGCCCTTAGCCCTGTTTCGCCTAGTTGCTGATGCCAAGAAGTTGAAGGTATGGTGCCAGATTCGAAGTGCAATCCATGTTGTGCAATATCGGTGGTGCGCAAATTAACGTGTTACAATCGACATGGTGCAAATCTAAACGGTGCAATGTATGTGTTCTTCTCTGATGGCGCGCGCGTTTACCCTTGGAATGTGGTCAAGGGCCGCTCCGCCACAGCCCCTTAAATGTCGCATCGCAGACGGGTTCAAATGTATAAAAATCCAACAACGGACAGCCCTTCAATGTCCCATGGCTGCCCCATGAGACATTCTAGGGTTTTCCAGTGGCGGGACTTTCCTACGGTTTTAGCTATAGCAGCTACAACAAGAGCAACAACAAATGACAGCAAAGACATTTTTTTTTCAGGACGGCGTCCCTGGCAGTCCCGACCATTTCCCCGGAACCAGTTTTTCGTCCCGAGTAGTGCTTGACGGCCCCGGGGCCCGGCGAGGGCCCCCCCGGCCCGAAAATCCCCAAAAACCGGCCGTCCGGATGAGGATGTATCGACGATGACGATGACGGCGACGATGACGCCCGACGAACGAGCCCGCCTCGACCGCCGCAAGGAAAGCCCTGCCTGTGACCTGGCACCCCTCTTGCGTCGGGCACGTCCCTCTACAGGAGGAAAATGCCAGAACAGTAAAAAAAAGAGTCGGGTACGATTTCTTCCGTACTTGTTTGCATGTTCTGCGTATTTTTTATGATAGCACTTTGCCGTGTTGCAAGTGCTCGAGTACCCTGGACGCCCCCTGCTTGCAGCCTCTCCCGCGCAGTCAGCCGCTGCTGTATGAGTGGGCCGGCCGGCTTGCGGCGCGTCTAGCTGCTAATTAGGCCGCTGTCGTGACCCGTAGCGCTCCTGACTCCGCTTGCGCCTTCGCTTGTGGACGCCACCGAAAAAGTATGTTTGCCGAATTTTTATTTTCTCGCCCACAGATCCCCCTGTATGGGGGACATGCCCGTGACCCGGCACTCCTCCCCGCGCGCACGGGGGCACTGGCCCGCTCCCCCGCGCGGCGCACGGCCTCCCTCGAGGCCGGCCGCCCATACCCCGACCTCCCAGGGCGGCCACACCGCGGCGAGGGCCCCCCCCCCTGAGATCCGACGCTGCGACAAAAAGGCACGACGCGTAGATCGGGCATGTCCCCCTACAGGAGGCGAAAAATGAAAATATTCCTATATACATATATAAATATGTATACACCTTGATGTACATGTGTAAATATACACAACAAAATACGTGCCCGACAGCGTTACACTATCTTGGAAGATTCCTCCTGCACAGGGACGTGCCCGACTTAGCACGACACCGCCAGAAATCGCGACCGGAGCCCTGCAGCGCTCACCTCCCTGCGCCCTTTCTCGCTCCGCCTCGGGGGCCCTCGCAGGGCGAGCAAGAGCGCCCGGCGGGAGCAGCATCAGTGGCAGCGCCCGGCTCTCAGGCTCCGGCGCCGCCCCTATTAGGGTCGGCGCTCTCCGCCGCGCCCCGGGCATGCCCCTGCCCCCTGCCGCTGCCCTCGCCTCCCGCGCCCCGCGCGCGCGGCGAAAGGCCGCCTCGGCGCGCGCCCGCCGCCGGGCCGCTCGGCGCCCCGCCGCGGCCGCCGCGGCCGCCCCGCGTGGAGGGCCCGTGCAGCCTGGGCCCGCCGGCCGCGGCGGCGACGGGGGGCGGCCCGGGGCCCGCGGCGGCCCTCTGCCGCGGGCGGCAGAGGGGCGGTCGTGGGGAGGGCATCGGGGTGGTCTGGGGTCCTATACGGCGTCAAGCCAGGCGGTGCCGCCCCTCGACCAGATCTGAGGTGCGAGCCCAGACATGAGATCGCGTCGTAAAGCAATCGGGGCGGCCAGCTGGGGGCTATCTTCGGCCCCCGGGGGGGGGCTCCGCCGGGCCCCGGGGCCGTCATAACAAGAATCGGGACGAAAAACCGGTCCCGGGGAAAAGAGGGCCGGGACTTCCAGGGACGCCGTCCTGAAGAGAACAGGGCGCCGCCTGTCTGGGAATCGCACAATATGCCCGTGGCTCTTCTCCTTCTCGCTCCCTCTATAGGTGCGACCGCCGAAGTCGGCATGATCCGCGTGGCCTTTGGCGGCTTCGGGCCCCCGGGGTGCCCGCGCAGATCCATCCGGCTCGAGGAGTGCCGAAAGAGTTGAGCAGGGACCGATCGCCCCGGCATTCCTATAGTCCTACCAAGAATTTTTCTTAGAACCCCAATATATTCGAAACACACAAATTATCCCAGTGCGGCCCTACCTAGGAGTTGGATATTATGCTATGCTATGCTATGCTATGCTATGTTATGCTATACTCTGCTCTGCTTTGCTATGCTATGCTATGCTGCGCAACGCTATGCTGCCCAATGCTATGCTTGGCTAGGCTAGGCTAGGCTATGCTATGCTATGCTGCGCTATGCTATGCTATGCTATGCTGTGCTGTGCTGTGCTATGCTATGCTATGCTTTTGCTTTGCCTTCGCTTTTGCCTTCTCTTTTGCTTTTGCTTTTGCTTGGCACCCAGGGAGCGCAACTGGGGGAACCGCGCGTTTGCTTTTACCTTTGCTGTTGCTTTTGCTTGGCTCCCAGGGGACCAGTGGAACCGCCTGGGGCGCTTTGCACTGCCCGGCCCCTTTAAGCTAAGACAGTAAGAACCCTTCTAGGCAGAGCCTAGGTAGGGAACAATGTTCTTAGCTAGAACACTAACCCGATGTGATACAACAAGACAGGCTCCGCAAGAAATGCTCTAAGAACATCTCGTGCAAACCACAAAAGGTTCTCAGAACATTGTTTGGCAGGGCTCTAGGCGAGCCAGGACGCTTCGCTACTGCTTGACTGGGGGGGGAGGGCATGGGGGGCGAAGAGAAGAGCCCGAAAAGGGGCCCTTGCAGGGCCCCTTGCGGAGCCGGCGGGGGCCCTCCAGGGCCCCCCTCCAGGGCCCCTTGTCTTCACATGCCCCCACTGGCGCCCGCCCAGAGGGCGACGAGCCGAGGGCGTTGCCGCCCGGCGTTGGGCCCCCAGGGACCTCACAGATCCATCTGGCTCGAAGAGTGCCGAACGATGGGTGTCTATCATAAGGTTGCGGCCGTGAGTCGTTCCAAGTTTCGATTTGCCCGCGCCGTCGGATCGCACCAAGCCGTCTTCTGGTCGGCCAAGGGGCTCGGTGCAATGTGGGTCCAAGGGCCAACAAGAACCTCTCTGGGGCATGGAACAAAAGATGTCGCGGTCCAAGATCACCGAAGCTGCTCTACCCTATTTCATGCGAACCGTTATAGGCAGCAACAACCGAAACGCCGGCTGGGGGTCACAATGCTGATATGGGCAAGGATAATGCATCCTCCGCCACCGGGAGCGCCGTTGTACCCCCCTGAGAGAGGACGGGATGGGTCCTCTCTGAATCATTAGGGTGTTACCATTATGTGAACGGCCCCCAGCTTCACAACACGTGGGATGCTGGAGCGTCTATACAATGAAGGCGTTGGACAAGGAACCAGTGGAGAAGGAATCCAGGGTCTGGCAGCTGGTGGAATTCCAATCGTGGATCGACGATGGGTATCACCAACGTCCCCACTGGATAAGGGATGTTCATTCCTGTGTAAGGTCTGAAGCCTGCTGGGCACATTCCTGAATCAACTCCCCCACCATGCACCGAAATTATTCGCTGATCCCATCGGCTCCTTGGCAGACCAAACGACGTGGTGTGTACACCGAGGCCCTCCGAGGTCACAAGGCGTCGTCGGTCGGTCGCCCGAAGCTCTCGCTGGCCGGCACGTCTCCGGCGGGCGCATCAGGCGCACCCTCCGCAAAGGGTTAGGTCGGGCGTGCCCTCCTGTTTGGACGACAAATATAACATAACCAAAAGATCGATGCTCAAACATAGTCCAAAAAAGAAGAAGCATCGTCCCCTGACTACCTTTTCCTATTTTCGAATACTCCTCCTGCAGCAGGACACGCCCGCCTATACGTGAAGGGCAGGGGTCCCCGAGGGAACAGTTCCTGGAGGGTCCCCTCCTCGCTCTCCGGCCCCGGGGCGTCCCGCAGGGGGGCGCCCAGGATACCTCCTCCTCCTCCTCCTCCTCCTCCGAGTGGAGGGAGTCGGAGGATCGCGCCGCACCGCCGATACGTCGGCGATGCACGGGCGACGCATCGGTGATGCCTAGGCGATGCCTCGTCGACGTGGGCGATGCATCGGCGATGCCTCGGCGTGGAGAAGATCGGGCTCCGCACCCAGAGATCCGATGTTGTGATGTTTCCTGTACGGGGTCCCCGGAAGTCTCGAACCATTCCACCTGCAAGTCCGGCTCTTGATCCCGAGTCGTTGTTTGACCGTCCCGGGGCCCGGCGACGGCCCCTGGATAGGCCGGAAATTGCAAAGAGCCTCCGTCGTGATTCTTGTCAATGCGCTGGTGGATCTCCGGGTCATCCTCGGGCGCCCGGGGCCCTCAACCAGCCCCAGAGTTAGGTCGGGCATGTCCCCCATACAGGGGGACTTTGGGCGAGAAACGAAAACCACTCAAAAGACACCCCCCAAATGCTCAAACCTAGTCACATAGTAGTCCCCAGACTGTTGCTCGGCTACTTCTGAACATTCTCCCTGCAGACGGACAGGCCCGACCTACACCCAGCGCCGCAAGAGCAGGAGGCCCCGGCGCGAGAGGTGGGCGCCGGGCGGAGCCCGAGGGCAGAAGGCGGCCGCCTTCGGGCCCGGGGACCGGCGGGGAAAGCCTCCGGCTCGGAGAGCAACCGCCCGGCGGCCGCAGGAAAGGACCGAGCGGCCCCAGAGCGGAGCTCCGCTTTTTTGGCGCTTAAGCCCGCCCGGAGATCCTGGCGCTTTGCGATGCTGTCGCCACGGGCGCTCTCGCTCCGTTTTTCGGGCCCGGGGGGACCTTCACAGATCGGTGTCCGGCTCGACGGGTGGCGCAGCAAGCGGGGGCCTAGGGCTCCAGGCGTGATCTCCTACGCTGCTGCGACTTTCCGCTGCACGTCGGATCTCGAGGGTGTGGGCCGCGCCACGCGTGGCATCGCCAACGCGTGGCCTCCCGGGCCTTCACGGGGCCTGGGGACCGCGTTCCCTCGGGGCCCGATTCCTTCGTGGCGGAGCCTTGTCGCTCGCGGCAGGACGCGGCCAGCCAGCCTGGCGGTGGTGGTCGACGAAGGGGACCTCCACGGGGAAGAAGCACCGCACGGTGCGCTGGTACTCGCGGTAGGCGGGCCGCTTCCGCACGGAGAAGTGCTCCGCCGCGGCCGCCCCCGTCCAGTGCACCAGGCAGTCGTAAAACATCCGCGGCGTGTGCAGCAGCAGGAGCGCCAGTGCGCAGACCTCAGGGGCCCCTCCTCTGAGTGCCCCGTCTTTCTGGAGGAAGGGTGGGTGAGCAAGTCGGAGAAAAAGAGAAAGACGCAGTGGGAAGGAGGAAGGGAAAGAGGGAGGAAGGAGCAGAATGGGGCTCGTCGCTCGTCCTCCTTGCACCCACCCATCACGCTTCCCACACTCGCTCCCACGCTGGTTCCTCCCTCCTCCCTCGTCCTTCCGCCTAGCCTACTCCCTCCTCGCCAATAAAACCAAAAACAGACGCAGGATTGCAAACTTCTGCGCCGAAACCTTCGGAGCTCAGCACGGACCTCGTTGGCCGGAGCTGGGGCCCCATCGCGAGCGCGCAGAGCGCGCCTGGGGCGGCAGCGGAAGCGCCACCAGGTGCATCCAAAGCAGACGCAGAACATCCGCGCGGAGCTCCGACGTGATATGTTTTGTGTGCAGTTCGGGGACCCTGCGTCTCGTTTCGAGAACTGGGCCCGGGTGGCGGTTTGGCGGTTCCGTGCTCGCCGTCGCCGCCCCGTCGCCGCCTCGTCGGCGCCAGTCGTCTGGGCCTGGGGGGCGGTCTGGCGGCTCCGTGGTCGCAGTCGCCGTCTCGTCGCCGCTCGTCGTCTAGGCCTGGGTGGCGGTCTGGTGTCTGCGTGGTCGCCGTCACCGCCTCGTCGCCGCCCCGTCGCCGCCTAGAATCGCCCTGCCAAAAAATATTGAGATCCCCCCCTCCCCACGGGGTTATGCCACCCCTTTTTCGATTGGAATTTCATATATGGTCCTGACCCTTCGTCCATCGCACATATGAACTAATACCATTCCAGCCAAGCCAGTATCGCTCCCTTTTTATCCTCTGTAGCTAGTACTATGAGCGCACACTCGTTTCTCAAAACTCATTAATTTTCAAAAACCCGTTGCAACAAAAAACGTGACGATATGCACATCTGAGCGTCGGCTCGCGCTTGCCGAACTCTTTCAAACAAGCCTTCGGTTGCGTAGCGGTTCCCACATTGTGTGCCACGAAGACATATACCACATGATGTCGCAACAAGAAATGTTCAATCAACTTGCATCCGCGCTTCTGCGAATTCTAAAGTAGTCGATTGGTGTTCCTACATGTTCATCAATTGCTGCCAAACGGGCCTCTCGCGCGCGCGTGCCGAAATTGTTCGGCCGCCCTTTGCGCGCGTGCGGTCGCAAGAATCCCGGGCAAAAGCGGGACGGAGTGCGCACGCGCGCGTCGTCGCGGGCGCATGCCGACATGTTTCAAAACCCTACGTTCCGTAAGGATGTTACAACCGCGTGTTTCGACAACGTATAAAAATGGTTTCGCAACACCAGTTTCAAAACAACCAAAGTCGATCGCGCACGAGCGCATGGTTTGGAAACCATGCAAATTTCAACGTTCATGGAGCCATTGGTATGAAAACAATGAAACTGTATCAAATAAGCCGCTCGCGCCGCATGTCGTAATCATTCAGACGCCCTTGCGCGCGTGCTAGGGGGTGGGGGGGGGCACGGTCCGTGTCAAATAATTCCATGCGGGCCACTTTCGCGCGTGGGCCGCGCGCGCATATCGAACGCCTTCCAAAACCTTCAGCACCGACGCGAAAGCGCCGTCATCGTAGTTGGCGTGATCAGCATCGCCGCAGTCATGGGCTTTGCCGTCGCCACCGTCATCATCGTCACCAGCTCCGCTACTATCATCATCGTGCCCACCGTTGTCGACGTTGCCATGACACCGCGCCCGCCCAAGTCGCAGACTCGCATTGAAGTGACCGCTGGGAAAGGCCCAGAGGGCAGCGCCACCGCGGCCGCGTCGGCCGCGCCAAACTAGCTGGCATGCGCGGGCTAGCGTGGCGACAGGTACGCACAAGCCAACACCAAGCATTCATCACAATCGCCGCCGCATGGGTTTTGCAAACCAGGTTGCGGGTGGGTGGGTGGGATGATTGCGCGAGCAGTGTAGTTAACAACTTCAAGTTGAACCTTGGTGGATTGTACAGCATAGATCTCTTCAAGAAGTCGGATCTACCACTCCCCCCCGCGGACTGATCCTGCCCCATCCTTCCCGTTTTGCCCCATCCCTCAAGTTCAATATGAATTCATACCATCCTAGGCTGCAGGCTGGTACCCCTCTTCATCCCTTGGAGCGCTGGCGAGAAGCGAGCTGCTCTCCTCCTCCTCCCCTGCAGCTCTGTGGCAGGACGGGCGGGGCCGCAGCCGGCGATCGAGCACACCCCGGAGAGGACGGGACGATCGGGGCAGGCTGTGCCGCTGGCCCTCCAGCTGGCGCACCCCCGACTGGCGAGAGCGACCAGGGACGGCACCGCGGCGAGGGACAGACTGACCCAGCACATCCACTCGCCAAAGTAGTTGGGGTGCCGGCACCGGGTCCAGAGCCAGAACTCCGACCCGTCCCAGGGCGACATGCCCAGCGTGGCGGCCCGGAGCTCCTCGCGCTCCGCCTCGGTCACGGACACGGCGTCCAGCCTCCGGCACTCCAGCAGGAAGAGGCGCTTCTGGCGGTCCGCCAGGTTCTCGAGCGCCCAGAACGAGATCCAGAGCCCCCAGCCGAGCAGCTCAAGGGGGTGCAGATGCTCGGTCGGGTTCCACGCGCTGAGCAGCATGGGCACCGCAAGCCCGCAGATTGTGGACATTCCCTGCTGGAAGCTGTCCCACTGCCGCTTGGCCCACCACTTCTCAGGAGGCTGCTGGTGGAAAACGACCCAGCTCTCCCGAGCGTACTGGTACCTGGCCAAGTCCTCCTCGAAGATGAACGTCCAGCCAGTCATCCTTCGGTGCCAACTCATGGGAGCCTACCATAACAACTTGCTGGATCCTGCGAATCGATGCCTGTCGGCGCTAATCGACGCCAACTCGAAGCTCAACGACGCTAAATCGGCGCCATCTCATCGGCTCCCAGACGCAAATCGACGCTGATCGACGCTAGAGACGGAATTGAGGGGGCAAACCAGGCTCCCACGATTTGCTGCCGAGTCATCCCGCCGAGGCTACAGACGGCGTCGACCGCCATGCGAAGACCGTGCAGCACGTAGCAGCCGCCCATGCCCAGCCTCCGCCTCCAGGCGCCCGGGCCGAGGCAGGCCCCGTGCAGCCCGAGCAGCAAGAGGCAGAGGGGCCAACCCAGGTCGTTGTACGCCATCCGGTCGAACACCATGACCTGGAACGCTCAGAGACATACCAGTACTACCCAGAGATCCAACGTATTGAAAAAATCAAGACGCAATTTTTTCATATGTTTCGGCCTCGAGGGGCCCTCGCCGGGCCCCGGGACCGGCAAAAAACGACTCAGGATGAAAAACCCGTCCTAGGGAATGGGTCGAAACTTCCAGGGACCCCGCATTGAAAAAATCACGACATCGGATCTCTGGGTAGGTGTTCTTCTGGAAGGCGTGCGCCCGACCCGAACATATGGCCGATACCGAAACACCCCGAACCCGAGAACGTCTTCGTCTCCTGGGGGCGCATCTTTTTCTTCCGTCGCCCTCCGCTGAGTTTTCGCCGGCTTCCGCCGGCGGAGGCGGCCTCGTTTTACTTCCGCCGACCTTCCGCCGCTCTTCCGCCGCCTTCCGCGGCGGGAGAGATGGAAACCCTTTCGATCCTCGAAGGCAAGGCCCGTTTCGAGACGCCCCACGTGGTACACCCATGTTGTAGTATATGCATTGCTTCCCGAGCGATGTGGCCAAGAAGCGCCCGCCACGAAGCACACACTACAAGACTTCTCGGTGCGCGCGGCGCCCCTTTGGGGGGGGGGGGTCGCACACATCGTTGTAGCACAGTCGACCCGTATAGTGAGGATGCGCGGTAAGGATGCAAGGGCCTCGGGGCGCCATGCCGACGTGTTTTCGAACGAAGCTGCCCAGCGGAAGTCGCTAAGGATGGGCCGAAGGGGCAAGGATGTAAGGGTACCCTTGTGCAGGCTGCCCATCCTTACTATGCGGGTTGACTGTATGTTGGGGTGACACCGATGACCGGGAGCTGGACCAGCAGCGCGTGCACCGCTAGCTGGCCCGCACCGCTCCAAAAGGTCGGGCGGGTGGTCCTGGGGGTTGACCCACAACGGGGGCGGGGAAGACAGGGGCCCCAACCGGGGCTCTCCATAGGGCCCCGTTCGGGCACCAACTGGCTCCGAAAGGGGCCCCAAAGGGCCCCCTATAGGGGCCCTCCTCTTCACCCGCCCTCTGTCGGGGACGCGCAGACCTGGATCGGGGGAGGTGCCCTCCCCCAAATTGCGGCCGGCGCCGCCCACTTCGGAACCCGCGACTTCCCAGGGGAACGGGACCCGTCGCCAACCCACGCCCCCTTTGATCCATGACTGCGCTCGCCCGACCTTGGGCCGCCTCCCGCTGCCACCCGCCCGAGAAGAACAGGTCGGCGACCTCCGGCGGCAGCCCCCCCGGCAGCAGGAGCGCGCACGGCGCGGCGGCGAGAGCCCCGGGGAGCGGGGAGGGCGAGCGGGGGGGCCCGGCCCGCTCAGCAGGCGGCCAGGCTTGGGTCGGGCAGGGGTACACGCCGGTCGGAAGAAGCAGGTAAAGAAATGAAGTAGGAAGGCGGATCAAGTAGATGGGGTTCAGGACCTCCCAGAGAACAAGAAACCACAGAAAAAACGTATCGGTTCTATAAGTGGGAAAGCGCTTGAAGTAGATTGGGATCTGGAAATCCAGAATTACCTACTTTCAACGACCAGCGAGTGTGTATAAACATGCACATCTGCGCTCACATTTACATATATGTCGCGGGACCAATGGTCCTGAACGCGCCCACATAGAGGAAGCCGGTACCGCGGCACCGCGGCTAGCCAGAATAGCTCTCTCTCTTGCGAGACAGGCGGATTCTGGGCGGGAAAGAAGGCAGAGTCGAAACATACTCAGAAATAATCAGAAAGTCGTCCCAATACGACTATGTTTCGACTACGGTGTGGGCATTGGATAAGTAACCCTCAGATAAGGAATCCAGAGTCTGGAAGCCAGTGGAACTCCAATCGTGGATCGGCCATGGATATCATCGCCGCCCTCATTGGATAAGTAATCCTCCAGGGTCTGGAGCCTCCTGGGACTACCCCTTAACAAACGCCGCCACCGTATGTGTGAAGACTCCTCCTGAAAAGA